AGATGCTCTTTGCGTGGCCGATGTGGAGGTAGCCGTTTGGCTCGGGCGGGAAGCGCGTCACGATGGAGGAGTGCTTTCCGCTGCCGAGGTCCGCCTTGATGATGTTGCGCACAAAGTTGGTCTGCTCAACCTCGGCAGGCGCGGCGGCGGCGGCGGCCGACATGCCGCAGGCGTCGGCCCGCCGGAGCGGCCGCAACGCGCCTGCTGCAGCGAGGCGGCGCACGCGCGCCCCGCCGGCGAGAGCTCGCATCGCCGGTGCAGCAGCGGAGAGGAGCAGTAGCAGACGCATGCACGCCCTCGTACGCGGCACACAGCCCGCTGTGGGAGGCCGACGGCTCTCCTCAACTAGCTCGCGGGTGGTGTGGGCGCCTGCTGGCGAGCGCGCGCGGGTTTTCTTCTTTTCGCGCTTGGTTTCCTTTTTCTTCCCTCTCCAACAAAGAAAAAGAAAAGAGGCGAAATAAGAAAACGATCGCATGTCTGCGCCTTTGGGGAGCGCGGACGTCGGCGACCGTCGCTGGCAGGCGCGGTGGCGCACCGTGTCCTCCTACTTCTCAGCGCCGTGTCTGCACGTATCGCTCGCGACGGGAGGTGCCGGCGGCGCTGCGATCTTTGCCGTGCGCTTCCTCTCGTCGCGGCAGCTGCCGGCCTCGCTCACCTGGGGCGCCGCCGTCGCCGGGCTGCTGGCGGGCACAAACTGGGCTGTCTGCCGCCGCGCCATGTACGTCATGCTCAAAGAGAAATCAGCGGCGCAACCCCTCGGTGCGAGCGGAATGTCTGAGGAGGACGCGGCGGCCCTTCGGGCAGCACTAGGAAGATAGGAAAGAGAGTACAAAGTGCGCGTGGGAGTGGTGCCTCGAGGAGCATTACGTGGACTGTTTCTATTTACAAATAACAAATCGCGGCGAGGATGCCCCGGCATCGCAGGCTAGTATTGCCTATTGGCTCTAGAGAGACACTCAGAGCGGAGCGCGTGGTAGACAGAAGACACACACCGCGGCCGACACACACCGCGGAGTTCGCAGTTCCGCTCTACCTCTCTGCGCATCATCGCGGGGCGCGCGCTCCCTCGTGCGCGCGCGTTACGCCGCCGCTCCTCACCTCCCCTGCGTCGCCGCACCCGCCAGCGCCGCCTTCGCCAGCTGCTGGCGCGCGCGGATCTCGTCGTGGTTTTTCGTCGGCTCCCAGTGCGGGTCGTGGAAGTTCTTGCTCTTGGCGATGGTCTTGTTCTTGCCCTTGAAGGACTGCCACGAGGTGCGCCGCCCCTCGCCCTGCTGCTCCATCGCCGACTTCTTCTCCTGCCGCTTGAACATCTTGAGCTTCTTCTTCTTCTTCTCAATCACCTCCGCCGTGTCGTCGGGAAGAATCTCGAGCGACTTGGGGACGGCGGGCTTGCTGCTCTCCTGCGCCGCCTCCGCCGCCTTGCGCTCCGCCGTCGCGCCCAGCCGCAGCCGCACCAGGTCGAGCTCCACCTCCGCGTTCTCCCCCTCGCCGCGGAACCGCACCAGCGCCGACCCCGAGCGAACCTCGACGATCGTCCCCTCGTACCAGCGGCCATCGCTGGCGTGGATTGCGGAGCACTCGCTGCCGGCCGCCCAGGCGGACGTGTCTGGCCGCTGGTACGGGCGCACCTCGTTGAAGTCCACCTGCGCCGTGTTGCCGAAGCCGAGGTACGTCACAAAGTAGCCGTCCTCAGCGAGGGCGACAATCTTGGCGTTGTACCACTGCCCGTCCTGCTCGTAGATGGCCTGGCACTTCTCGCCGACCGAGTAGGTCCGCAGCTCCTGCGCCACCTTTGACGAGCCCGCCGCCGCCGTCTCCTTGACCTGCTCCAGCTCGCTCGTCAGCGATATCACCTCGACGAGGTCGGCGCGCAGCTTGATCCACTCGGCGTTGTCCGGGTCCGCCGAGATGGCCGCCTCCACCTGCGCGAGTTGGGAGCGGTACTCCGCCAGCTTGTCCGACATCACTACGCGGAACGCCTCGCCTCCTGCGCGTTTGCTGGGTACCGCTCCTTCCCGGATAGGGGTCTTCCTACCCACCTCGATCAACGTATGGACCGGTTCTTATTTCGTATCCGCTTACTCTTGTTTCGCCCAGGTTTATATAGCATAAACACCGTCCGTGCAGGGCTCCTAGGCCATCACTAGGTCCACAGTGGACGGACACACAGCCTCAGCGCCGCTCGGCTCGGCTGGAGGCGCCTGGGGCGTCCAAAATCGCGGAGCCGGCAGCCGGATCGGGCGTCCGACCCGCCCCCTCGGCGACCCGAGATGGTCTCCCCGACCCCCGAGGCTTGAAGACAAAGCTGGGTTCCGGCTCCCGGCGTCTCCCGGGGAATTCCCACGTCGGCGATGAGTGCACAAAAGGGGGGGGCCCAAAGAAATGCTGGCTACCCTTTAAAGAGCGTTGTAATAATGGGCGCGAAACGGACGGATGAGCGTCGAACTCCGCAACCACCCCCTCAGTTGCGGGGAAGAGACTTATCCCGTACGGAAGAGGAGGTGGGCCTTGGGCGCTAGCAACGAGGTCTGTCGGGAGAGAGATTTTTAGAAGCCAACAAGAAATGTGTCACACAGAGTGATTTGCGCTCGGCAGCTTGTCGACTACCAGCCGGAGCCGGAGTCGGAACCGTAGCCGAGATGGTCTTCGAGGGTGTCGAATATGTCATTCGCCTCGCTAGTGGAGCCGGTGCCGCACGAGTCGCGGTCGGAGGAGGAGTCGTCGGAGGAGCGGTGGGACGCCTCGCGCTTGTCGCGCCTGATGCGCTCTGCGAGGGGGCCGGGGTCGTGGTCGTCGTGCTCGAGCGTCGGGTAGGTAGCGCGCCTTGCGACCTTGTCGGCCGAGCTGCCAACACGTCATGTTGTTGCTCAGGTCCACTCTCTCTTCGAACACTCGTGCCTCTACGGATGATGCCGGCGCTGGGGTCCCCTTCGGATGCATCGTGACATCTGACAACTGAATTTCCACTGGTTCGTCCTCCTCCGAGTCATCTTCCGAGGGGCGGGGCGCGGCGTCGGCGTCGGCGCGCGGCTGCGTCCGCACGGCCGCGGGCACGGGCACTGGCAAGGGCTCGGCTGAGAGCTGAGCGAGAGCGAGAATGAGGATCATCTGAAGCTCGAGTGCAGGCGCGTGCGCGCGGCGCGGGCGCGGGCGGCGTCGCGTCCGCACCGATCCGTCGCCGTCGACCGCGGCCGGCGTCGTGGGCGCCTGCCACGGGGCAGCTGCAGACGCTTGGCGAGGCTGATCCGCAGGTTTGAGCGTCGCTCTCTGCACTGAGGTTGGCCCGGTCGCAACGGGTGCCTCGGCCCGAAGGCTGGGCATCTCACGCCGACCGGGAACTAATACTAGGAGGCGCTGGGCCGCGGCGCGGCTGGTCTCTCGGGCTCGGGAGGCAAGGGCGGCGGCTACCGGCATCATGGCAGGTTCGAACGGCGGGCAACGTGCCAAACGGACTGGGCACGCCGAGATTCTTTCTTGTGTCTTTTTGCGTTTTGGTGGCTTGCTCATGCTCCGCTCTCCTTCGGTGAGCCCCGCCCAGCTCTTCCAACACTGCCCGCGAGACGTCCGAGCAGCCGTCCCTCCCCCGCGCGCGCACACCCCAAGCGGTCTCCGCCGCCGGCTCGCAGGTTGCGCGCGCCGCGCCCGCGCTTTTCCGCGCCGCGCGCCCGCCCGCGCGCGCGATGGCCGGGGGTGGCAAGCCGCTGGTGGTGCCCGAGTCTCCGTTTGACGGGCCGGCGGAGGGCAGCTTGGCGCGCTCCGAGCCGATTGTGGAGATGGGCGTGAGGTACGAGGCAGGCAGCCCCTCGCCGATGGAGAGTATCCTCAGCCAGGAGCCGATCGTCGTCGATGGGCTCCTGGCGGTGACGGGCGGCGGGGCGCTCGGCTTCCCCAAGCAGTTTATCAAGCTCAAGCCCGACGACCCGACTCCAGTGGCGTGCACCTACTCGGGGCTGCGCTTTGTGAGCAAGCAGGCACCTGTGGCCGGCGCCAGCCCACCTCCTCCCCCGCACAATCTGAGCGTACGCCGCGCCCCCCCCAGGCGCTCAAGAAGGCAGGCAAGTTGTGACTGACAGTCTAGTGCTAGATGTTCGATTCGAACTCCGATTCGTCGCGGTAGCCACCTCTCGGCAGGGCAAGCGGCGCGGCCTCTCCCGTGTTTTCATGATTATGTGACGTTCATCGGTGCGTTTCACGCGTGTCTCGTGAATAAAACGTCAAAGTGCGCCGCCGCCGGCGGTGTGAGCGGGGCTCGCCGCCCCGCCCCCCGGCCCCGCGTGACGGCGCTCGTCTGTCATGCTCGATGTGGTCGATGGCGTCCCACAACTCACGACAGCGGAGCTTGCACACCTGTCACCTCACTCTCACATGTCATGTTTAAGTTCAACAGTTCAAGATTCAAGTTACCTCCGCATTTGATGACTGTGATCTGAGCGGCTCTCCCACGCCGGTCGCCGCGCCGGCGGCCGCCCACCGGGGGCGTCCCCGCCTCTGCCGCGTCGTCGCCACTCTCACACACACGCCTCCAGCGGATCGATCGCCGAGACGCGCCAATCCGTCGGGAGCGCCTCCACCTTGCCACGAGCCGGGCCGGCTGCCGCCGCCTCCTCTGCAGCGGCATCCGCCAGATCGGACGAGGCCGCCGAAGGGGCCCATATTGTTGGTCCTGCAGGCATCCATGCGCCGCCGGTGGCCTCGGGCGGCGACTGCACCTCGCCTTCAAACACCCAGGTGCTCTGCTGCGGCCCGTTCTTCGAGTCTGTCGAGAAGCAAACGTGCATCTCTGCGCGACCATCGTACGGCTCAGCCAAGAGGGCGCGGCGCAGCCGGCATGAGACAACCCGCGCCTCACTCTCAGCGCGGTGCGATGCGCGATCACCATCCAGCGCCAAACGCATCGCTGCGAGACACGCCGGCGCGAGGAGCGGGGCCAGCGCTTCCCAGTCGCGAGAGCGCAGTGCTGCTGTCGTTATGCAGTAGGCGTGCTGGGCGCCTCGCAAGAATTCTTCCGGATCAAGGCCGGCAAGGAGGCGTAGTGATGCCTACAGATGGCCGTAACTTTTCCTCCATCCTCCTTTCCTCTGTCCTTATAGCGTGCCGCTAGCTGCTCCTCGCCTTGAGCTCTGCGAGCTCCCAGAGAGAGAGGCTCGGGTCGACGAGGTCACGCTCTGCTGAGACCCAGCTGTCGACCGTTTCGGCAGGATTGAGCGGCCGCGATCGAGGAGCGCTTGCCGGCGAAAGTAGGCCCCGTGTTGCTAGCCTTGAATGTCGCAACATCGACGGACGGACGAGTCCTGGAAGTTTCCCCACGCACTTATTTTTTTGTCGCGAGAGCCTCGATCGCCGCGAAGTACGGCTGGTCGAGCTCGCACCCGATTGGCTCCACGGTTCCGCCGCCAGGTGTGGCTTGAGACCCGACGACATCAAGAGGCTACTGCGGGAAGCGGGCGGCTGCCCCGCGCGCGCGCTGCTGCTGCTCGCGCAGTCGACCCCGAACGGGCCCACGGTCCTCATCTGGGGCGGGACTCTCTCCGGCAGCAACCTCGTGGATGGCTTTTCGTGGGCCGACCCAGACGACAACAGCCAGCTGCTCTTCGACGCGCTCTCCTTCGCCCTCAAGCCCGCGCCCGTCATCCGTCAAGACGTTGAGACTCCTTCAGGACTTGTGGCGAAAGAGCGACTGCGCTCCCGAGCTGCTGCTCGCACTCTTCCGCGCCTCCAACCCTGCCGGTGCGGTTCGCATCTACGAGATGCGCCGCCCCGACCAGTCCCCCACCGGCGCGGCCGACGGAGCGGTTGGGCCTCGAGGCGCTTCTTCGCCTTGCCCAAGGCTGCGAGAAGCACGACTCTGTGCTTGTCCAGACGCTCTGCTCGACGCCCACACGCGTCGCTCTCGAGGTCCTGAGCCTCCCCAAGCCCTTTTGCCCGGCACTTGACAAGGTTGCCCTCCGCTCGATCTTGAGCTCCGCCGCCGCGAGGACGCCCGGCCACGACCGGCTGCGCTTCTCCGCATCGATTGCGACGCCAAGCCGCCTCGGTGGCGTGGTGGATGGCAGCCACTTCCGAAACGGCGCCGGTCCGGCGAATGCTGTTGGCGCAGTCGCCGCAATGGGATCGGCGCTTGCCCTGCTGGCTGCTGCGCTGCCAGGTGGCCACGGGTGCGTCCGTTGCTGCGGTCGACTTGGACGCCGGGCCGATGAGCCTCGAGCTGCCGCCATCGATCCGTGACTCCTCGAACAGCAAGAAACGCAGCGCGCTCGATCTCTCCGAGGACGACAGCGACGACGACCTGCCCCTCGCCCGCCGGGAGGAGCGGCTGCTGGCGCCTCGCGGAATCACGCCGCGCGCCTTCCCAAACCTCGGCGGCGGACGCGGACGCGCCGGCGGCTTCTCGCGCGATACCTCCGCGCCGGCCGCGTTGTCGGCCGCGCCTCCTCCAGCTTCGCAAGCGGCACCACCGCGCCCCTCGCCAAGCCCCGCGAGCGCGGCAGTGGGCCCGGCGGCGGCGGCGGCTCGCAGCCTCGCTTCGCGCAAGGGCCTCCCTTCCCACCAACCCCACCGCTCGACAACGGGCCGCCGGGCCTCTCCTCGGCCTCCGCACCGCAAGACTTCCAGCAGTTCCAGCGCAGTTCCAGCAGTTCCAGCAGTTCCAGCAGTTCCAGCAGCAGTTCCAGCAGTGGCAGCACTTCCATCAGTTCCGGCAGTTCCAGCAGTCATCGCCGCAACCCACTCCGACCGCGCCGTTCGCGCCAATGGCGCAACCCACTCCGACCGCGCCGTACCTGGAGGGGTTCCGCGGGCGCGTACCTGGCGGCGTCCCCGGCGGGCGTGGCCGCGGCAACCCAGCGCGGCCCTACGTCTGCACTCACCCCGATTGCCTGAAGAACTACACGTCTGCGAAACACCTCTGGCAACACCGAAAGCGGAACGGACACTGAACGCATTCGGCGCATTCGCGGGCGTCGCTGAGGCGACGCATTCGTGGTCGGCCGTCGTCCTGACGCGACTCTCATCTCGTGGTCGGCCGTCTTCCTGACGCGACTCTCATCTCCTGCCCCCGTACAGACGATGGTGTGTGCGTGGAGAGCGCGTGGCGGCGCAACGCGGACCGCGTCTCGTGCGTTTGTGCCGCGTGGACACAAACACATACGTGTGATGACCAGCTTTGCACGTGTGTTGAAGAGAGTCTTGTTCAAAGGGGCACGTTGAGCACGCGAATGAATGGCAGCTCCGGTGCGTCGCGGTCGCCGTCACGGTCTTTGGCATCATCTCTTGCCTCGGAGGCATCCTCTCTTGCCTCGGCTTCCTCGTGCCTGGCCTGTGGTGGGGCGGCCTCGGAGGCATCCTCGCCGTCGTTGGGTCGAGCGTCGTTCTTTGCTGCTCCGGCTGAGTTCCTCCCCTCGCAGCTCGCTGCCTACTCGCTGCCTCGAGGGAGGGGGGGAAGAGGTCGAGCGGGCGCCACTGCGCTAGCACGGCGCGAGGCCCCTCCCCGAAAGGCAAGTACTAGCCACACGAAACCGAGACCCTCCCCCCCGCCCCGATCCCCCTATCCCCTTACTCCCCTCCCCCCCTCGGGAGGGCCGAACAGAGGCGCCGGGACCCCGAAATCCCCTCCCACCCTCGGAGGGCCGGACAGAGGCGTCGAGGGGCCACGCTCTTTCCTTCGCATATAGCGGCCACTCTACGGATCGCTGGTCGAGCCACCCGGGGGATGCCCCGCGCGCCTGTGAGCTGTGACCCAGGCGCGAGAAACGAATCTGCGAGGCGTGGCCGCTTATGAGGCCCGATGGGGAGGAGTAGTGGGGCGGACTACGGGGATCGGCCTCTTACACCGCCCTTCCCTGCAGCGAGCCCCTCCAACCCATCTCTCCCACCCACAGCACCCACCCGCCCGCGCGCGCTAGGTCCTGGGTGACGCAGGGGAAAGAAAGAAACCCTGCCGGCGAGCCTGTGTGGCGGGAACTAGCTAGCCTGGGCAGTCAGTCGGAGAAGGCGCAACTCAGTGCACTGACGGTCGGCCGTCAGAAAACACGCCTGCGCGTCACACCAATCCTCGCTACCCAACGCGGCCAAAGGATATCCACGAGAACCTCGAGAACGCCTGCGTGATAGGATCAGAAAGAGAAACGAATGGCGCACAAGCAGACGCCACAGCACACGGGCACGCTGCTTCTGTGTCCCCTCGCGCCTCGTTTCGCCTCGTTATGGGAGACATCGGGGCCGAGTTCGCGGCGTTCAAGAGCGACATGCAGAAAAAGGACCAAGCGCTTGACGCCTTCTACCTGCTCGTGTGTGGAACCTTCGTCTTCTTCATGCAGTGCGGGTTCGCCTTGCTCGAGGCCGGCACAGTGCGCTCGAAAAACACAAAGAACATCCTTCTCAAGAACCTGCTGGACGCCTGCCTCGGTGCCATCATCTGGTGGGCGTGGGGCATGGGCGCCGCGTACGGAGAGAGTGGCGAATCGGATGGGAACGTATTCATTGGCACGGCGCCAGACGGCGGCGGCCCGTTTCTCGCGGCCGGCTGGGCTGAAGTCGGTTTTGACCCGGCCAATGGCAAAGTCCTCGCCCTCTGGTTCTTCCAGTGAGTCCTCCCTGCGCGCCGTCGCCCCAGCCGCCACCGCGCAGAGCCACTCTCCGCCGGCATCGCAGCGGCGGCCCCTGACCGCGCCCCTCGCTCCAGATATGTCTTCGCGGCGACTGCGGCCACCATTGTCTCGGGGGCGGTCTGCGAGCGCGCCACGATCGGCGCCTATATCGCCTACACCTGCTTCATCACGGGCCTCATCTACCCCGTCGTTGTGCACTGGGTCTGGTGCGACAACGGCGGCTGGCTAGTGTGATGCGGATGTGTAGCCACTACACCGAGGAGCGGGAGGGGGCCCGGCGTTCATCATCTAATGCGTTTGTGTGCTTTTAGGCTTCCTCTCGGGCGCCTTCACCCAAGACAAGGACAAGACCGTCCTCGGCGGCTGCCTCGACTTTGCGGGCTCGGGCGTGGTGCACTTGACAGGCGGCGTCGCGGCGCTCTGCGGCGCAATCTTCATCGGGCCTCGCATCGGCCGCTTCGACGACGCCGGCCAGCCTGTGCCGATGCCGGGCCAGTCCACCCCCTTCCAGGTCCTCGGCACCTTCATCCTCTGGATGGGCTGGTACGGCTTCAACCCGGTGCCGCCGCCTGCACCCCGGCCTCGCGCCTCATCCCTCACCCACATGCCCTCACCGA